TCTCAAAGTTGATTCCGCCCCCCCCCCTCCGTACCTTGAAGCATCTCGAAATGACTCCCTGAGAGCCCTACTAAGAAGCCCCAACGCATAGCGCTTTCCAGCTTCTGCGCAGTGTACAAAGCCCCCGCATCGCATTGCCGTAGCTAACCCAGAAGGAACAGAAGAGTCTTACCCAGCCACCGAGGTGAGCACCACCGAGGCACGCCGTAAGTTTCTTGTGTCGAGCTGACATCGGTTGTTCCCGGGTTTACGGGTTCAGGGTTTAGGAGACCAAGGTACAGTAGGGTTCCGAATACTTATTCAGAAGCGCTCGGCAAAAGTTTGCGGAAAGCCGTGCAGTCTGGTCCTGGGTAGATAGCATCCTCTAGAAAGGACGGCGCTGGACCGCGGGGAGTCTGGAGGGTCAGGTTCTCAGCCCCGACTGTCTTGGTGGCTGATCTAACTGTTAAACGTTTTGTCGCTTCCAGCGTCTCACCCTAAACCCTAGAAACCCGATAAACCCCCTGTTTACCCGACACACCCTAATTACAAAGCCTCTAAACCCCCCAAATCCGACAAACCTTAAACCTTAAACCCTACAAACTCTAGAACCCTATAAACCCTGTAAACCCTATAAAGCCGATAAACCCTATCCAGTATACACCCTAGAAACCTTATAAACCCCATAAACCCTACAGACTCGATAAGCCCTAAACCCTGAAAACCCTCTAAACCCTGTAAATCCCAAACCCTGTTGCTTCCTGGGCGTAGGCCCCAAGCGCGCCTTCGGATGCTTCGAAGAGCCCTGCCTTCACTCCCTCTGGCGATCAGGCCCTCGGCTGCTGTCACTGCGTGCAGGGTTTCGAGTTTTGAGGTTTAAGGTTTGGGGTTTAGCATCTTGGGTCTAGGGTGTTCTTGAAGCAGTGGTCGTCTTGCAGACTCTAGACTCTTTATGTGCCGTTTCTGTGGGTCATGATCGAGATTCTTCGGTTTGTGATGCAGGAGCAGCAGCCCATGCAAACCCGTGTTGCGCTAGCTACCCTTCAAAAGGGTCCACAAATCTCCAGTTTTTCCAGCTAGCCGCCCTCACGCCCCCTCCCATGTAGCGAACGTGATCGACCTCTCTAGCCTCAAAGTTTTGTGCGCCAGAAGGGCCGCCAGCAACAAAAATGGAGACCCAGATGGATCTAGCTAGGGCTCTAAATCCTGAAACCTAAGCCCCCAAACCCTAAACCCTAAACCCTAAACCCTATAAACCCTAAACCCTAAACCCTAAACCCTAAGAAACCTGTGCCTGCGAGGTTCCCAAGGATGACCTGCCCGACTACGTTGTGGAAGTTGCTCCGGTTCCAGCGTGGGCCCTGAGGTTCTGGAGTTTAGGGTTTCAGGGTTACCCTGAACCCCAAACCCTAAACCCTTAGCCAAAACAGCCCTATAAACCCTAGGGTTTACAAGGGCTCAGGGCTTCAGAATCAAGCGAAAGCCGAGAAGAAGGAATCCCGAACTGCTTTCTATGCTTCTGGTTTAAGGGTTCCTTTTTTCAGTCTCTGGTTGGTGGTTTGGGGTTCCGGGTTCTTCTGTCTTGCACTGGTTCTTGGTTAGGGTTCATGAAACATGCTTACGGGGAAGTTTCGAGGATGTCTTCTTTAGAGCTTTCCCAATTTGAGGGTTTTGGGTTCAGCGTTTAGCGTTTAGGTTTGGGGGCCCCTTTGATCTGATACCCAGAAAAGGCTTATCAGCAACACTCTAAGCTTGCATCATCCTGTAGTGAGGTACCAGGACTGGGCTCCATGGGGACTGGAACGCCCAAGGGAGTAACTGAAGGATGATGAGGGAATCCTTCAGGCCCCCCATGCGGGGCATGCGGGGCCTGAAGAAAGTTTTGGAAGACGGTCAAGACGGTCCAGACGGTCCACGGACCAACGCAGGCTGAATGCAGGAACTTTTCGACCTCAGACCCGAAAAACCGCCACCAAAAGTGCACTCACGGCAAGTTCCATCTCAGCATGCGGGTGTCGTGCCTGCGCTTCAAAAATCTTGAGCTCGCTGACCCATTTTCTCCGCCATCCTGCACCTTGGCACTGAAGCTGGGCGCCAAGGATTACATCGAGCGGTTTGGACATGGAGCCCCAGATGAGGAGGACATGGGGTTGCGGGGCGCAGTTCGAGCTTGAGTGTGTAGGGCTGTGGGCTGCAAAGCGCTGAGTTTCTTTGTTTCGGTCCTGCGATCGCTATCACACTAAATCCGTGAGCCTGAAGCCTCAGGGCTTCAGGGTATTGCAGCTCTGCGTGTTAATGGAGGTTTTAAGACTTGAAAGCACAGAGGGTTCTGTGCAGTGGCTTGGGCCTTAGCTTGTTTTGCAGCCGCCTGGGGTGCAGGGTTTAGGGTTTACTTTGTTTGCCTTGCCTTGGTCGGTCCATTGTTGGCTGCATCCGTCGTGTTGGACCAAGTGTTACAGTGTTGATGGGCTCTTTTTGGCTTTCCACTCTTGATTCCTTGTTCAACCCCAACATGGCCCCCGACACCCCTGAAATGGCCCCTAAACCCGCAACTGCTCAACCGAAACCCTGAACCTGAAACCCAACGGTCCCGTAAAGGTTTAGCATGAAGGGTTTAGAGTGGGGCAAGCAAACATCCAGCAAAAATCTCGGAAACATTCAGAAACGCCTCGCTTTGCACCACAGCCCCTTTTGAGGGTCCGTCCTTTTGGGTCCTTACGCCCAGAACGTGGCACGCGCCAGGGTGCAACCTGGCCCATGAGCGTTGTGGCCGCTGGACAAGACGTGCCCCTGGCATGGTGGGGTCTGGGGTGCCACTTGGGTTGGGGTTCAAAATTTAGGGTTCGTCGCATTTCGGGCTTCGGGTTTAAGGGAGTTGCTGGCTTTTATGGTGGTAACGGAGTCTGTGAGTGGGAGGGAACCCGAACCCCAAACCCCAAACCCTACAATGGCCCTACAAGCTCAGACTCAGTTGCAGGAGTCTGCGCCATCAGGTCCCACCGGCGAGGCCATGCATGAACGCCGACCCTCCGGCTCTTTAGAGTTTAGGGGTTTGGGAGAGATTTCACGTCGATGGGTACAACAAGGGTTCAGGGTTTAGGGGAGCTTCCTAAGCGTAGGCCCGTGGGATATCGTACACGTTCCACATTTTAGGACTACTTTTGGGTGGGTTGAAAGAGCCAACCAAGTCTTGTTTGAGTTTTGGGGTGAGACAAGAAGCCGCGGAGGTGGACCGTCACCAGCACGATGAGATGGAGGAGCTCCAGCGGCGAGCGCTCCGGCGGCTGCGATGGGAAGCCAAGGAGCTCGGAAGTGAAGTTCCCGCAGTCCACCCGCACTTCTCTCTCTTGCTCTCCCTTTCTCTCCCTCTCTGTCTCTCGCACTTGCTCTGTCTCTCCTCGACTCTTCGTGTTTGTTTTGGTAAGGTTTCTGTGCAAATCTTTTGCTCCAGCTGTTTGAGGAGGCACAGCGCCGCTGGCCAGCCGCAGCCTTGGCGCCTCGGCACCACACCAACAAGCACACACGCGCGCGCACGCACAAGGCGTCAGCCGCCCTTCATTGGAGCCAGTGCAAAAGTAAACCATGGCGAATGTACCATCATGCACCACCCAAAAATCTCCCTCACCTTCTGCCGTCGAGCAGATGTGTCGAGAGCCTGCAAAAAGTTGCGGCGTTGTTGCCCCTCAGTTCGGCTTCTTCGGCGGATGCTTCGGCGGATGCTGGCTGCGCTGAAGTTTGGCGGGGGCCTCGATATTGCTCCGCGCCAGTTCGCTGGCGCAATGGCCGGTTTCCGTAAGACTGTGGTTTTGGAATCTGAGTTTTCAGTCCTCAGGTTGGGCTGGTTGTCACAGGGTGGCCAGCAAGTTGCTGAATACACTGACAAATTTTGCGCTTTTTGATCCTCCCAGCAGAGCCGTGAAACCAGGCGGAAGCGGCCCTCATGCGCGCTGAGCTTCATGGGACAAGGCAGGGAGGAAACGACGTCAGCCCAATGCAATAGCAAAGCTGCCAGAGACCAGACAAAGGCCTTTCGCCCAAAGATGCCCCAACCCGAGTCATGCCCAAATCTCCCCGCCCCCCCTCTCCTGTCGCCTGCCGCAAAGACAAGAATGGGTTGAAAACTTGCTTCCTTCATGCAGCCGAGGGCCAGCGAGGCCGCATCCCGCGCGTGTGAGGTGGTCGAAAACGAGCTGGGTGAATGTCCGGTATGTTCTTCTTGGGCTTGTCTTGAATCGAGTCAAAAATAGAGCGGAGCTTAGAGTTCGGAGTGTACATGGGGTCACGGGCGAGTGAGTGACACCAAGCATGTGCCATGATCTTCAAGGCGAAAATCCCATGTCTTATCCTTTGTAGGCAAGCAGATGCCAGTTCGTGCCCTGAAGCCCCAGAAAAAGGTTTGGGGGGGGGGGGGGGGGGGCCGTATTTTCAACACTACGAAGTACGCCGCTTCGACGAGTGGCAGTCACTTGAGAAACAACCTCCAACCCCAGAGCGTGCCAAACTTGCCCGGTCGCACCAAACGTACGGCAACGCAGCGAGCACAAACAAAACTGCTTATCAAGCGATGATGCGCCTGTCATGATTCTTTTGCTGTATCAATGAGTTCAACGTCACCAGCGCGTCACCTGCACAGGTTACTTTTGTTCACTACCTTTGTGGTTGCTTGCCGGGCGGCGCCTTTTGAAACAGGCTCAAGTCAACAGGAACCCATGGCCTGGTGCGATCAACTCCGAGCTGACATTGTGGCACGGCGGTTGGGTTTGACACCAAACCGCTCCGTGGCCCAACCAAGAGGATTTAAGACTTTGGAGGCCAAGCTCGTGCCAGACGTTCCTGCAATTCCAGTGCCAGCCGTGTTGGAGCAAGCGTGTCTGCTCCACACCACACAGTCGGGTCTCATACCCCTTCGAGGCCTTGAAAACAATACCCGCCTCCAAATAGTCCCGACGGCTGCTAGCCGCCATGACTTTGCAAAGGTTCGACAGGCCAGGGTCTCCCATGTCATTGAGACCTCTCATTTCATGGAGAACGCGAAGGTTCTTGACATCTTCGTTCCAGGGACGAGCAAAAACGTTGAGGACGACTCGGAATGGATGGAGACAGGGTGTCTGCCAGCCTTGATGTCCAGCAATGTATCCGTTTCTTTGCGCATCCACCCTTCTGCCTTGGCCACAAGCCCCGCCAAGCTCCGTGTCTTCTTTGCCGTCAAGTATCCGTCCGCTACACTCGATGCATGTGTGCAGCAGCCACGCAAAAGATTGGGCTGCAGCATGTCCTGCAGTGCGACGGTCTTGGAGCCCGGTGTAAACGAAGCTTCCGCGGACTCTTGGGACAGGCACTTGCTCTGGATGATGTTGTCCCTTTGGTGCCGCCTGGACAACATGGTGTCTCGGAAGCACCAGTTTAGGTTGCTTCAAGTTAGACAGAGTTAGAGAATGTCCAATACAAGGGTACAACCGCACGACTCAGAAGCTAGACAACCCACACCAAGAAGAATGTCATTTGTACGACTTCAGTCGTGAGATGTCTGTCAGGTTGCTTCAGCAAGATCCTCAGCACGCAAGAAAGGTGGATCGGTACGAATTGGAACACCAGAGACCCTGCTTGTCTCGGCGCGGCTCTTGGCGCCTTCTCCTTTGCCAAGCTGCCCTGCTTGCGGAAGTTGAGCCCTGTTGAATGCCCAAAACCCTAAACCCTAAACCCTAAACCCTAAACCCTAAACCCTAAACCCTAAACCCTAAACCCGAAACCCTAAACCCTAGTAAGCCCTTGAATGCCCTTAAGCTTTAAAGTGGAAGCCACCAGTGCCACACGCTCAACTTCCATGCCAGGTGGCCGCGCTCGGCCAGGCCTTCGCGGCCGGTGGCCTGCATGCACCTCGTGAGTCACATCAAGAAGGGTCCAGACACTCCGGTGAAGGCTCGGCTTTGAAGGAACGGAAGGCGTCTCCGCGTGCTTACCCTGTTCGCCACCCGCCTGTCATTGATGACAGGGGCTGCTCTTCAAGGAGTTCGAGCCCAGGTGGATCAAGCACCTGGAAGAGGCCTGTCGAAGTCAACGCACGTTTTGGCGACCGTTCTCTCGACTGTTTCTTTTCTCCTTGAGGTGAGCAGCTCCTTGGCGGATGTGTACGGTGATGTCCAGGCTTGCGCACGTTTTTTTTAGTTTAAGTCTCCTGATCTATCCTAGCTGCTCTTGAACGGCACCTGTCAGGTCGGCCATCTGCCGGTAGGGGTAAGTAGGTGCGTGTGCTTGTGATGGGGGTCGCGGCAAACCTGCTGGTGGTGTCCATCTGTCAGATGCTCACTCACCGCTTGAACACCATCGCCCCACGCAGACTTCTCTACACTGAGCGTGACTTGGCAGACTCGTGATGCCTCTTCCGCCTAAAACTAGTTGCCTGACCAGCTTAGATGCCAGGCTCTTGAACTTCACCTGTAGCTTCTTGACCCTCACCCGTAGCTTCTGATTGCGCCCTTGCTTTCTTGATTTTTTTTTTATGGGTTTGGGATGTGGATCTATTTTTAGTTGCACACTTAGTTCATATTCAGTTTATTATTAATTTATAATTAGTTATTAACAAATTAATACGTAATAATGCACGGATATGCACGGCAGTTGCTTTGCATGTCAAAGGCCATGAACCGAAGCTTGCCAGAGAACGGCTCGCAGCGGGGCACGCAATGCGGCGAAGCCGACCATCGAAAAGAATCCCACTGATGCCGTTTGGACGGCTGCGGCTGCCATCCCAGGTGGGGCCCCCTAAACCCTAAACCCTAAACCCTGAACCCTAAACCCTAAACCCTAAACCCTAAACCCGAAACCCGAAACCCTAAACCCTAAACCCTCAACCCTAAACCCTAAACCCTAAACCCTCAACCCTAACCCTCAACCCTCAACCCTAAACCCTAAACCCTAAACCCAAAGGGGCCTTATTATTGTGGGGCAAGCTGGTAGGCTGAATTTAGATGTACGTGTGTCTGCTTGTCGTGGATAGGATTTGAAGAAAGCAGGCAGACGAGATGGGCGCAAAACGACTTGGGCATGGAGAAGATCTTACAAGCTCCTCTGACCAGACTAGGGTTTAGGGTTTAGGGTTGAAGGTTTAGGGTTTAGGGTTCAGGGTTATCTGAGCCCACCTTGAACCTTCTGCCCAGATCAGCTTAGATTTGCAGCTCTGGATCCTGCCTGTGGCTTCCGATTGGGATTTAGTTGTACTTGCGCCGTGCGTGTCTGTCGCTTATGTCATTAAGGGGCCACCACCCGAGGCCATGAGTGGAAGCTTGACGAACGGCTGACACTGGCGCGTCCAATCGGGCGAAGCCACAGATCGTGCAGAGCCCCCATCATCCAGCTGCCACGCTTGCCCTGCCAGGTGGCTGGGACTGGGCAGAAGCTTGTAGGTGTAGGGTTTAGGTTAGGGGTTTAGGGTTTAGGGGTTTAGGGTTTGGGGGTTTAGGGTTTAGGGTTTAGGGTAGTAGGTGTAGCGTTAAGGCCAAGGCGCACCGCTTCAGCCTGACCCGGTGCAGATGGTTTTGGAGGGGTCTTATGGACTTAAAACAAAATTGTAGGCGCTGAATGCGACACAGGTCCGTGGGTGGGATGAGTTTGTATTTATCTATGTATGTGTGCATTGCATTTTTATGTGGCAATTCATACAGGGTTAAACAGGGTCTGTGAAGGAATGAACTCTGTATCAGAAGCTGGTGGCCCTTAGCAGGCAAATTGAAACAGAAGGCCTGAAAGCCGCAAAAGCTTTGGCGCTAAGTTTTGTTTCGTTTGAGAAACGCCTTGGGCCTGGAACCTCGGCAGAATTGGTGTATGTGCTTATGATGGATGGGGGCACCACATTTTGTTTTAGGAAGAATGCTAGGTGAGCGAGATGGGCACGAAGCGCCTTGGGCATGGACAAGATCGTAAGAGCTCTGACGCGCTTCAGGCACGGGGTGTCTTTTGTTTGGCTAGTTATGGGTCTTGGCAATCTCTCCAGTTCATCTTGATCCGGAGCCTAAGTGCTTTAGGAGTGGCAGGTCACACTGATCACACGGCACGATCGCCTGAAACTCCCGGCCAGGCCAACTCGTACTTTGGGTCTCTAATGCTGATATCTGTTCAGGCTCCAAGGCAATCCGAACCCAGACGCGAATGCAGTCGCATGCTCTGTTCATGGGTTAGTGGGGTTGATGCGGCCTGGGTGGAAGGAGGGATTGCAATGTCTGTCACAGGCTTTGCTCGTCATGGGATGATGTGGGTTTCCATGGAACGTCTTTCGCCGAATCTGTCTCCCCAACAGCGATCTATATTGATGTGTCTATTGGTCTTGCAAAAGACAGATGCTGCGTGCTCACCCAAGAGTGAGCAATGGGGCTTTTGAATGGGAGCCTTCCCAAGCGGAAGCAACAGTGAATGACCTTCCAGTCGCGTGGCAGTTGAGGATAGTTCAGGTTTGGGGTCAGGCAGATGCAGGTCACTAGGACGAGCCTAGGGCCTAAGTCCAAACGACTCCGAAGTCAGTCGAACAACGCGTCGCGGAAACAAGCAAGCTACTCGTACGTCTTCGTGGATGCGTGTTTTCAGGCAGCAAGACCGACAGACATCTCCGCGGCAGCAAGGCTGCGCGACATGCAACTTCGCCAGTTGCTGGTGTTGATCCGCAAAGTTCGTGGCTTGGCGGACACGTGATACCTTCTCTGCCTAAAGCCAAAGACCCTGACATGCGCGTGACTTTATGAGGTCATTCGTGCTTTCCCCCACCCTTAAGCCTTCCCTGCATCTTCTTGCGTCCTGGATCTTGGGGGCAGAAGGGTTTCCTGGGATTGGTTTTGCTGGCTGTTGTGTTTGCCCTTTCTCAAAGGCCATGAGCCGAACCTTGCCGGAGAAGGGCTGACGGCGGCCTTTGCGGTCCGGCGAGTCCTAAAATCGGGACTCCCAATGCCAGGCAAGGACACCCAGGGATCCGAAAGTCGCCGGAAACATGGGTCTCTTCTTGCAGTGCCTTCCGTGCCTTCAGTGCCTCCAGTGGCCCCACCCGACGTGCCTCAGCCGCAAGTGGGGGTTCGGGGTTTAGGGTTGAGGGTTTAGGGTAGAGTCGCCGCATGAAGCTTGCTTCTGCCTGCGCAGGGCAAATTCCCACTACGTCTACCACCCCTATCGAACCTCATTGAGCACATTGAGAGTGAGTCGGGAAACGAGCTGCTGAAGCTGAATTTCGCCAGGCCGTTTCGGAACACACCGTGGCCTCGTGGCATTTTAGGAAGAGCCGCTTTCTGTACCTTCTGTCAGACTTTGCTGTTGCAGAGCGCGAACCGTCGCCAACGTGCCCAGGCATTGGCAAAGGCCTGCACCTTCCTTTCATGTCTTCGAAAGTCTATTCCGCCCGAAAGTGGGCGTGGTTTCGGAGCTTCGCACCCGGCTGCGGACGACCCCGCCGAAGGCAGGGGGTATCTTCGGTTCGGCTCGTGGTGCCAGACCTAGCAGGCCACGCACATCAATCTACGACTCAGCTAAGCTTGCAGGTCCTTGTTGTGACCCTAAACCCTAAACCCTAAACCCTAAACCCTAAACCCTAAACCCTAAAACCTAAACCCTAAACCCTAAACCCCCATGCCACCCCGTGCCTTCCTTCTTGGGTTTATGACCCGGCCCAGCAATGAAACTTTGAAGGAGCCGGGCTTCTCTATGTACTTTCGCGTCTCTGCAGGCCGGGACTCTCCTAATGGGGGTTTAGGGTTTAGGGTTTAGGGTTTGGGTTTAGGGTTTAGGGTTTAGGGTTTAGGGTTTAGGGCTTAGGGTTTAGGGTTTAGGGCTTAGGGCAAGAAATCCCCAGTGCGACAGGTTTGCTGCAAATCGCCTTCGCAAGCAAGCCCTTGCGGCGGCTGCCTGTTCCGGGCTCAGATGGGAAGTGAAAGCGTGGTGCAAAGATGTGTAGCTTTACGAGCAACTTCCCGGATTCACACAGCCCTCTTGACCATCCCTGAGCGCCTTGAGGTGCTCGACCCTTCGATGCGTCTGAAGAAGCTGCTGACACTGCCCCGTAGCTTCAGGCAGCAAAGGCAGCCCTTGGACACGAAGGCAGCCGATGACGTGGAAACCCAGGCACTTGCGCCCAGCTTGCAGCGTTGGCGGCGCGTGGAGGATTCCGAGGTGGACACATGGTACGATCTGCCAGTGGCACTCGGAGTGCAGAGCTCGCGCGACTCTGTGGAGGACGGGCAAGACGAGCTCATCGAGCCGAGGCGACGCTCACCCGTGGCCCCTGCGCAGAAGCCGGATGGACATGACGGGCCTGGAAACTTCATCTGCGCCATGGCCGGGGCGATTCAGATGAGCAAGAACAAGTGGATGAAGTGGAAGTACGTTGAACAGCTGGCTGCCAACAGCGCCGCGCTGCAGACCTTGTCACTGGAGAAGCAGTGGGGAGGGCTTGGGTCACGTCCCGGTGCCACGACCCTTCAAGGGCTGAGCCGGCTGCTGACCAACGCATCCCCAAGTCGAACGATTCTGCTGGGGATGTCCTTGGGTTCCCTGCACGCGACGCGCTGTGCGGAAATCGTCGAGTCCGCAACGAATGACCAAATGCGTGCGGTGGTGCTCTGGGACCCCCGCTTGCCATCGGGGAGTACTTTCAGGCCCCTCAACATCTCGGACGAGTACATCCACCGCAAGATCGGGTATGACCACTACTTCCCCGAGATGCCCTGGCCAGCTTGCCGAGTTGCAGCATCTGCCCTCCTTCTTCGTGTTGGATTCTACGAGCAAGAAGACGTGGATGTTGATGGCCTCCTGGAATATGATTACTCTGCATATTCAACATCGGCCATCGGCTTCCAAGCGCTCCAAGCAGCATCCCTAAAGGACAGCGACCACATGTGCATCTGGTACGGCATTAGGTCGTCGGGTCTCTTTTGGGCTTGTGCTTTCGGATACATGTCGGCGTGTACAAGGGTTTTGTGAAACATCGGCCTTCCGACGTTTGCGGGGTCTGTGTCGCAGGGGCTACGATGGTTACGTATCAGCGCATCCATGCCCGAAAGACAAGTCGGTGTGCTTTGCCAGAGCATCCATGCCTCAAGGCATGTGTGCCCGGACGATGGCTACTGTTCCGTGCATGTCATTTAATTGCCAATGGGCTACCGACTGCGTTCCGTCCCCAACTGAGGCACCTACACCCGTGACTTGTGGGACGTAACGCGGTTGCTGCCTTTGGCCGTGTCCGGGCGACTTGCTGCAGGTATTGCAGGTGTTCAACCCAGCTCTCAGCCCTAGGCTGTCACACCTAGGTGGTGCTCCGCCCCCCGCGTCCTGTGTTGTCGGGTAGAGCAAGAACAGTAGTGATCTAGCGCGCCTAGCGCGCACGAGCCAGTTCCGATTCATGCATCATGGATTCGCCGCATCATAACGGAATCAGCGCTTAGAAGGGTTACTTTTTTGGTTTGGCCCTGGGCGCCCCCCAAAAGCCCTAAACCTGAAACCCCTGGTCCATGAGCCGAGGCCACCAGCCACCTCGGAATCCAGCACATCCACCAGGCCTTTTGGGTGCCCCAAGCTCCCGAAGCCCTGTGGTCCCTGAGCCCTGTAGTCCCCTAGGTCCTTAAGCCCTCAGGCAGTCATGCCAGTCCAAACCTCATGCTTTTGTGGAGGCCGCCGGCAACTTCGGAATCCAGCACATCATCCAGGAGAAGGTTGTGTTGAGTGCCTTCTTTTCTTGGGCTTCCGTTGGGGTAAGGAGGTGTGAGAACGGAGGTAGGGGCTTAGGGTTGAGGACCTGTCAGGCATCCCTCAACTCTAAGCCCTGAACCCCTTGAGAGGTGCGGTAGATTCGCAGCCCAAGCAGGTTTGGAATGAGCACTGGTACGTGAAAGATTTCGGCTGAGCGATGCACGCATGAATTCATACGATGCACGCAAGGCATGACCAATGCTCCACAGATGCATGTCGTGTATAGGTCAACCTCTCTCTGCCTTGTAGATGCACGGAATTTGTTGGTATTCTCTCTCCCCTTGTTCGATGCATGGAATGTATTCGTGGAACGGCGCCGTGGTCCCACAGATCAGCATGGAGAGCCCAGCAACTAGGACCCCTTTGGGCAGGTTTCAAGAGCGCAGAGCTTCGAATGAAATTTTTCCGCCCGGGTATGTTTTGTGGAGAATCTGGGTTTGTTCTGTCAGAGGCTTCCTGCATGATCCTGGGCCCCCAGGCCATAGATGCATGCAGAATCAGATGAGATGCATGATGCACGTCGCAATGCCACGGCCAAAGATACAAGCCGTCATCGAAGCCATCCAAAGAGGGGAGTTTCGGATTCAAGGTTTTGGGTTTTGTTATTGTGTCATGTCACTACAGTGTCTAAGTCTCGTCAGGTGGCACTGCCTGTACAGATTTTTCTTTTTGACCTAATTAGCGGAGGTGCAGTGTATAGAAGAGGCTGCAGCCACAGTCGCCAGCTTCTGAAGCATGTGAGTCGGGTCTCCGAAGAGCGCGAGCCTGCCAAAACAGCTTGCGGTAGAAGCGTGGTCACAGCGAACCCAGCCGACGCCCCGACACGGTGAGCTCCCAGCAGCCCCGCATGAAAAGTACCCCAGGCAAGTTGGCTCAAGGTCTTGTTGCCACTCCTTAGAAGCTGCTCAGGCCAGTTTTGCAGGCTTTGCGTTTAGAAGCGCAGCGATGGTCAAGACCAAGGTCCTGACCCAGCCGGGCGCTCGGCAACCCCAAAATCAACTGCGTGGGGAGGTGCGAGTGCTGTGACTTTGGGTCTAGCCTCGATGTGATGAGTGAAGATGCCTTTCGCCTGGACCACTAGCATGAGGCATGGAAATGGTAGCCGAAGGGTCAGATGTCACAAGTGAAGAAGTTCCAGATGTTACAAGTGACGATTCTGAGATGTTACAAGTGAGCCAACCTGGCAGGACCTGGCTGATACTTGTGTCTTAGGGTTTTATGTGAAGTTACTAAAAAGAAACCATGTCGTGCATTGAGGAATGACATGAAAATTGGCGTGATCGGAGACGAAGACACCGTGGGGCACTCGGCGTTTTTTGTTTCTTTAAATGGAGTGGGGTTCAAGGGGGGTTTGTAACCCAAGGTTCCCTGATACTCCCCACTACTCCCTAAGGCTCCCTAAGCTTCCCTAGGTTCCCTAAGTACCTACACCCCATGAACCCCCTCTTTTCAGAATCCTACAACTGTTTAATTAACATCCTAAACCCAAGCCCGACAAGCCTAAACCCTGAACACTAAACCGTGAACCCTTCTCCTCCAAGTGCGGGAGCCCGTAACCCCAGGGGGCTTGAAATCTGGCAGCTCTCAAAAATATGTTCCGTGACTGGCAAATTTGGGTTCCTTTCTTGGTACACCCCCAATATGCAGAACCGGTATCATACCCCTCATATGCAGAGCCAGTATCATAGCCTCGTGCGTACCCCACTCAAGTAGAGGGTCGAAATCAGTTCTGCTTTGCTTCGGACAGGGTGAATGTGCTAATGTTGAGAAGGATTTGTGGTTCAGGCTGACCGGCGGATGGTAGCTCCCCGAGATCCTTGCACACTCCGAAAAGCCTCACTGCAACCCCCCCCAACCCTAAGTCCGAAGCTTCGCAAGCCCTAAGCCCAAAGCCCTGAAACTTGACGTTCTGCTTCAGCAGAACCCCTTGCACTTGGGCTGCAGAACCTGGCGCTAAACTCCCTTCACCCTGAGCCCCTCCGATAAAAGCCTAAATCCCAAATCGCTGCCGGAATGCCGAACTCCGGAAGCCCCATAAGCCCTGAGTTTAGGGTTTAGGGTCTGTATGTTATAGCAGTCGTCGTGCATTCCTTCGAGATTCTGGCATCAGAATGTGAAGCCCTAAGATGTTGAGCCATCCCCCGGTGGTGAGGTGACTGGCATGCTTCTGGCCGGCATAGGTCACGTTGACGGTCAAGGCTTCCCACTTGGGTTCCTGGGTGTACTAAAACCAAACCTTAGGCCCTCGAAATTAATTGCCAATAAAGCCCTAACCTCAAACCCAAAGCCCAACCCCAAATCCAACCCTAATCCTGACTGCACCCTAAACCCTACACCCTAAACCCTAATAGCAAAGCCCTCGCGTTGCTGGCATGAACGCGACGGGTTTGGGGCTTCGGATTCAAGGCCCTGAGTCCTTTGTCCCTACATCGATGCATCCCAAATCTGAACTCTAAGCCGCAAAGCCCAAACCCCAAACCCTAAACCCTAACCCTAAGCCCCAAACCCTTAAACCCCAAACCCTGAACCCCCAAGCCCCGAAACCCCGACACCCCGAAAGTTCACCAGCCCTTGCCAGGCAAGAAGAACTTCCTTGTCGTGGACTCGAAGGTGCACATCAAGGAGACTGACGTCCGGAGACTGACGTCCGGAGGGTTTAGGGTTTAGGGTTTAGGGTTCAGGGTTTAGGGTTTAGGGTTTTAGGGTTCGGGGTTTAGGGTTTAGGGTTAGGGCTCAGCTTGGGGTGTGGCGTTCAGGGCTTTAGGGTTCCGGGTTTGGGGGGAGTTTGTGGGTTTGGGCCTTTGGGCTGTGATAGTTGGGGGTTTGCTCCCTCAAAGCCGCCCTAAAGCTCCCTTAACGCCCCTAAACCCTAAACCAAACACCCAAAACCCTAAACCCTAAACCCTAAACCCGAATAAAGAAGCCCCCCCTTGAATCCTTAAAGCCCTTGTTGGCTTGTTCCCAGGATATAGAAGACCACTTCAACGAACTGACGACGCCGGGGCGCCCGGCCTCTGGGGCCGTTCAGGGTTTAGGGTTTAGTTTTTTTTTTGCTAGGGCCGCGCGCCTGCTTTGCGTGTGCTGCGCGCGCTTTGGCGTCTGCTCTTGTGATTTCCGCACTTTTTTGGCCAGTACGACATACTTAAAGTCTGGGCCGAAGTACGGGTTCGAGATCGAAGCACGACGGTTTGTCCACATTTCCGGGTGGAGGCGCTTGGTGACAGTTTCAAGCCAATAGGGAAACTGCATTCCTCTTCTACGCCCCTGGGTAAATATTCTGTCCCTACAGGCTGAGCTGAATACTACGTGGGAGTGGTCACTACCTGGGTGAGTAACTTATTTTGGCTGTGCGATAGTTTGGGGGTTTAAGGGTTTCGGGTTTAGGGTTTTGGGTTTTGGGGGGTTTAGGGTTTATGTATTTGTTTTCAAAAATGGAAGTTTGCATGTGAGCCACATGCACCAGAATTCCTGCAGTGACGCCGAGAAAGAGTGGTGAACGCAGCCGGGCTCCACTTCTTGTGCCGTTTAGGGCCGTTTAGGGTTTAGGGTTTAGGGTTTAGGGTTTAGGGTTTAGGGCTCAAGCATCCCTGGCTCAAACTGTGCCTAGGTCCTGGAGACCTCGGCGGCTCCTCTAAATGTGAACCTTTCCCCCCAACCCCAAACCCCAAACCCCAAACCCCAAACCCCAAACCCCAAACCCCAAACCCCAAACCCCAAACCCCAAACCCCAAACCCAAACCCCAAACCCCAAACCCCAAACCCTAAACCCCAAACTCTAAACCCTAAACCCCAAACCCTTAAGCACCCTGCCGAGGAGGAAGGACATCTCCATGATCCTGATCACGCAAGACAGTGCCGAACTGCTGGCGGCCCAGGTGTTGCTGTGGCTTGCAGGGATGGAGAGCGTGCGGACGAAAGGAACGCACAGGGTTTAGGGTTTAGGGTTTCGGGTTTAGGGTTTAGGGTTTAGGGCAGATGAACCGTGTTCACTTAACACATGGGATACACTGAGCAAGTTTTTCTCAGAAGTGGACCACGAGGTATACATTGCCGTTGGACGTGATTTTAAACCGTCGTTTCTGAGGGTGAATTCGCCTTCCCATGGAATCTTCTCGTTTGTTGCATTCCTTCGTTCCCTATGGACTTGCAAGGAAATGCGAGCAGATATGTAAGATTGAATGTTGAACGGAAGGAACAGACAAGGACGAACACACCCAATAAAGCTCGTCCAACATGAAAACCAATGAGCTGAATTCTAGGATGCAGCTCGTTGTCAGACTTAGCAAGCAAGCCAAGAATACATCTATTCTGGGGAACACAGTTTGAAAGGAAAGGATGTTGGTGAACATGTGATTTTCGGAGTCTTCCCGTGCTATTGAATTGTGAGCGTATGAACTGTAATTCGTGTCGCGTGTAGAACGCAGTTGCTGACGTAAGAAGTGAGCGAATCCACAAGTGAACAATGTTTTCAATGGGTTTGGGGTCTGGTTCAGGTTCCTTTGGGGAAGCGGAGGCTTCGGGATCCAGACAAACGAGAGCTCCAAGGCAAGCAGCCGAAGGCATGAAGCTGCGCACAAATCCCACATGCGCGGGCACGCACGCACGCACGCACGCACGCACGCACGCACGCACGCACGCACGCACGCACGCACGCACGCACGCACGCACGCACGCACGCACGCACGCACGCACGCACGCACGCACGCACGCACGCACGCACGCACGCACGCACGCACGCACGCCCGCACGCACGCACGCCCGCACGCACGCACGCACGCACGCACGCACGCACGCACGCACGCACGCACGCACGCACGCACGCACGCACGCACGCACGCACGCACGCACGCACGCACGCACACGCACGCACGCACGCACGCACGCACGCACGCACGCACGCACGCACGCACGCACGCACGCACGCACGCACGCACGCACGCACGCACGCGCACGCACGCACGCACGCACGCACGCACGCACGCACGCACGCACGCACGCACGCACGCACGCACGCACGCACGCACGCACGCACGCACGCACGCACGCACGCACGCACGCACGCACGCACGCACGCACGCACGCACGCACGCACGCACGCACGCACGCACGCACGCACGCGCACGCGCACGCACGCACGCAC